AGCTTGACTTCGCCTCACTGGTCACGCTTATGAGAGTGAACAGGATGAGTGAAAGATCGTAGAAACAGAAAAGCAGGGGTTCTTGCGCTCTTAAGTACTTCTTTATCATTGAGTAGGGCCGCGCACCGGCCCCGAGCTTGTCACGACTCTCCGGGCTCAGGATCTGCCGAATGGTGCGTATACCGGGTTCTGCATGTAGCCTCGAACATCATTCGCCAAGACGTTCATGTGAGAGCAACCAACATTTATATCATCCTACGAAGCCTGAATGGAGAACCAAGTCATTGGGAGTTTCCGATGACTTAAGATGTGTGCCATGAGGGCGCAGGGTATGAGATCGCAGATTCACATGAGACCTGAGCATGTCATTGCGAAAGATGTGGTTTAGGGTGAATATTTGGAAGAAGAATGAACGCTTTTATTAATCGTTATTTAAAAGGAATGCAACCAAAAAATGCTTCATGCTGTAGCCTCCAGACTCTTGATGACGTGAACCTTTTCCGCACTGTTGCTCGTAGGGTCGAATGTGTACCCAAGCCAGTCCTTCGCTAGTCGTCTTGCAAGTTCCAAACCAATGACTCTCTCACCCATGCACAGCACCTGCGCGTCGTTGCTCAGAATTGAACGCTCGACGCTGAAACTGTCGTGTGCTGTTACAGCGCGGATGCCCTTGATCTTGTTGGCAGCAATGGCCATGCCGAGCCCCGTGCCGCAGATGAGCAGCGCGCGGTCGGCCTTGCCGTCGGCTACCATTTGAGCGGCGGCGGCGGCTCTATGAGGGTATGCCGTCTTGTCTGCGCCATCGTGGCTTCCAACATCCTCGACGAACTCAACGCGAGCGTCCTTTTCGAAGTCTGCCTTGATTGTGTCCTTGTACTTGATGCCAGCCTCCTGTTTGGGTGTCAGTCTCATGATATGAGAAGCAAGGCACTTCTGCTGACTTACGTCGCATCCGACTACGATGCGGTACTTGGAAACGGGGTTGCTGCCCATCTTGAATGTTCTTGTATGATGCGGGGTTGTGAAGCTTGCAGACGGATCTGGAGATAGAAATTTCCTTGATTTCTCGGATGTCTGGAGACGAGTATAAGAAAGTACCAAAGGCCGCTACCGCCACGACTTACAATACTTACTTATAAAGCGTCGAGACCGCCATGTGCATCGGTGTGGGTGTGATTTGTCGCGGATGGCTCACCCCCCTAGCCGATCTTCCGCTGCGGAAATCCGGGGTCGAGACGCACACACGACCGATTTACTGGGTCCCCGGAAAATCGCACACCATCAACCGACCACACCACATATGATATCGACTGGTCAGCATCAGGATGGGCCTTTATGTGATCATTATCAGACTCAAATCGAACTTCAATATCAAAGGAAGCTCATATTGTCCAGTTCTGCAATTTGTTTCGTGAGCTTCATCGACATCCCATACCCCTACACATAAGTAGAGATAGAAGCACCATCACAAATCATGTCCGACCGCCACATCTTTACCTCCTCAGAGGGGCTCGTTGACAAGTCTCTCAGAGGGTTCATCTCATACAACCCTTCTCTTGGTCTGGACCAGTCAAACCGTGTGGTCTTTGACTCAACATACGACAAGTCCAAAATCAGCATAATTTCTGGCGGTGGCTCCGGCCACGAGCCCGCATGGGCAGGTTATGTCGGCAATAACATGCTGGCGGCCTCCGTATCCGGAGACATCTTTGCCAGCCCGTCTGCGAAGCAAATTCAGTCTGCTATTGAGCGTGTGCCCTCAGATGTCGGCACAATCCTTGTCATCACCAACTACACCGGCGACTGCCTCCACTTTGGCCTCGCTGCAGAAAAGGCACGGAGTCGTGGGCACAACTGCCGCATGATCATCTGCGGTGACGATGTGTCTGTTGGAAAGGCAGGTGGTAGCCTGGTAGGACGCAGAGGTCTTGCTGGGCAGATTGGTGTTCTCAAAGTCATCAGTGGAGCAGCTGGCGTCAAGGCCGGCACTCTCGATGACATCCACAAGCTTGGTGTTTCTGTCGAGTCCGAAATTGTGTCCATCGCGGCCACCATGGACCACTGCCATGTTCCCGGGCGCACAGAGCACGCTCGTCTGGGCGCCGACGAGGTGGAGGTGGGAACCGGACCTCACAATGAGCCCGGCTACAGCAAGGTCTCGCCCGCGCCTACTGCAGAGGGCCTGATTGACCAGCTGCTGCGGTACTGCCTGGACCAGGAGGATCACGACCGAGCTTATGTCAAGTTCAACAACGACGACGAGACGATCCTCCTTGTCAGCAATTTCGGAGGCATCTCCTACCTGGAAATGGGCGCTCTTGTCGACGAGCTCCTCGAGCAGCTCGACACCAAGTGGAACATCAGACCGTCAAGAGTGTACTCCGGCCCTCTCGAAACCTCTCTCAACGCACCTGCATTCTCAATCTCCTTGATGAACATCACAGCGGCATCAAAGAAGTGCAGTTTCTCAGCAGAGCAAATCTTCCGATTCGCCGACCTCAAGACCAACACACACTGGGAGTCGATGGCTGGCGCTCAAGCTGTCCGCCGCGACAGAAAACTTCAGTTCGTGCAGTCACCTCCTGAAGAGCCAAAGAAGATTGAGGCCGACCGCGACGTGAGAATGGACCCGGCAACGCTCAGGTCGATGCTGAACATGGCTTGCCAGGCAGTCATTGAAGCCGAGCCTGATCTGACAAAGTGGGACATGGTGATGGGTGACGGCGACTGCGGTGAAACCCTGAAAACGGGCGCTTCGCATCTCCTTGATGCTCTAGACAACAAGGGTATCGCAGCCGAGGGATCCATCGTCTCAGTTCTTCACGAGCTAGAGGACATTGTTGAGAGCAAGATGGGTGGCACGCTTGGTGGTATTCTCGGCATTTTCTTCGTCTCGCTCAGCAACTCCGTAGAGGAGAACGCGTCGTTGGCAAAGTCGCAAGGTATCTTGCCTCTCTGGACACTGGCGCTGACGTCTGCTCTTGCGCATTTGAGTCATTACACACCCGCCAAGATCGGAGACCGGACGATCCTGGATGTCTTGATCCCCTTTGTTGATGCAATTCGCAGCAAGGGTTTCGAGGGAGCTGTCGAGGCAGCTGTCGAAGGAGCCGAGTACACGAGGAAGACCAAGGCTAAGCTTGGTCGTGCGACTTATGTTGCAGCGTCTGGGAAGGATACGTCATTCCACCCCGATCCTGGTGCTTGGGGTGCAATGGTTGCCATCAAGGGCTTGCAATCCGGCATGGCTTAAATTTTCCGAGCCTATCTTTTCGTACCTTCATTTTCACATATAATTTAGCGTTAGATTGAATTTACCAAAACTCTTCATGTTCAATATCGCTTCAATTTTTTGGCAACTCCGAGAACCGACATGACAGGCCTTTCAATGAAACTTCGCCAACGTAGCCAAAATAATGACAAGTTCACCATCGTGAAGCCTCATTTCCGTACTCACTCTAGCCTGGTCTCTCGAGCCACCATTATTACACACCAGGAGAAGTGCTATACCACTGGCAGACACCATAGAATGATTTATAGTTTCTTGTCGATCTCATGGCTAGATGGTCAACTATGGTGATATTGCCACTCTGGGCTTTATGAGTGTTTGAGTAAGTACAGAGCTCTACAAGCTGCTGGGTCTAGCCTTTGGTTCGATCTGGGGCAAACGAATAGACACGCCATACACTCACTACAAACACGATGAGAGTTGTCAGTCAACAGCCTCATACCCAAGGCCGCAGCAACACTCTAAGTTGCTGAAACCAGCTCTGATCGAAGTAGCAAACTGCAGCCATCGGGTCGGAGCCTGTTAGCCCTGAGATCATGATCCACAAGCGGCCTCGGAGCTGGTATGACAGCATTGTTCCGAGTTGACTATCTCATCCCGACGCTTGATTCGCCAATGGATCAAAGACGTCAGGGGCTCCAGCGACATGCAAGCACTTTACACATGGTAGACTAAGGCTCTGCCCAGAAGCTTAGCACTCTCATCTGCCGGCGAGCATCCACGCTGTCGGGACCCGAGTGGCCGTTCCTGAGGGCGCCCCAACTGCCGGGAAAGACAGGGAAGCAGCATATGCCATTAAACTGTCAAGCTATTAGGTCCTTGTGGCAGGTCAGATTGACCAATAGAGGTAACAGGGGACCACTAGCGAAGCTGGAAGAGGCCGAATACGTGAATCATGCTGTAGCTGAAAGCTGTTCAGTAAGTTCACAAGCACTCTATCTCAGAGAAGATTTCTCACTTAATAGCCGTGCCGGCTTTAGGTAACTTGATCCTCAGTCGATGTCATTCGCCACGAGTCTCAGCTCTTTGGTAGAGTCCCCTTTCGCCTAGATCTATTTATCAGCATAGGGGTCATACATGTAACTCCACATAGCATCACTCCCTTGGGTTCAGCCAACATTCAATGTGTTATGTCCATTACTTGGATCACAGACCATACAACGGTGTAATCTAGAGGCAAGTTCGTATGAATTTGCTGATTGTAATCGCGCTCCCACCGGACCATGGCCCAACCTGCCTAATGACCAACTCACGATGGCACTTCCCTCGCCCGTGTTGACAGGATGAGTTCGGTTCGGGAACTCGGCTCGGCGGAGGCTCCGCTCCCGAACACACGCCAATTTCCCCTAGGGCAGGCATGGAAACCGGGGTTCTAAGTGTCAGCGGCTCGAGTTTCTCAAAAAGACGTAACATCAGAAAGACCCCTTTCCCCAGGATTGCGGAAAAGTTTTGCCACGTCTCCGCACCGTTCGCATTGGCTGCGGCTCGCATCCGGGGCATTCTTCCGGGAGGGGGGAAGCCGTGGGAATGTGAATGATTGCCACATTTCCGCAGGCTTCGTATTAGTTATGACATACTCCCACCGTCCGTCTCTCTGACCCCCGGGAGGAAAAGCTGTACACATGAACACATCTTGCGGGGCCTGCCCCGCATAAGTGTTCCAGCGGCCGGATCTCTTGGGGTGTTGTTCGAGGCTTTGAGCTGTTCGAGATTACCGGGAGGCTTCAGCTCTTGGCTTGTACCTTGACGTGGTCATGCGGCCCTGCTCTCCTGAGGTCCAGACTTTTGGATATTGGAAGGAAAACTGGGACTTACCAACCTCAACGTCGCGAATGTTTTGTTGTTGGATGAGACTAGACCCGGAACTATGGGGGCGCTTGAGGGTCCCGGGGAAATCGTATGCGCCGGGTTACCTGTTTGGGCAATCCGAGGTCCGGGGCACAGACGTGATCTCAGTGGCGGGTTGGCCGGGTCAATCCTTTTTGAGTTCAAGGGGGTCCAACTTGCGGAGTCTGGGGGTTCGCGGGGGCAAGGTTTTTTGGGGACTTGAGGCTCCTTTGAATGGATCTAGCGACGTTCTGCTCACCGTGAGTTTTTGCAAACGGATAGTTCAATGCTGACACCAGGAGTTTGGATAGACTGATACACGCATCCCAGATTCGATTCCCTCGATAATGGAATCTGTACGCAAGATCATGCCGAGATCGGAGCCATGACAAGCCCATGTGTACATATCGACCAGGGCCAATAACTGACAAGACGGGAACTGAAAGAGCCAAACACTCCACAAGGATGTCTTACAAGTCAAACCCCTGGGAGTCTGTCAACTTTTCCCGTTTGCCGTTTGCCTCCCCCTCATCCTACGATTACCCGGACTGCGCGGCGTCTGGCGTCCGGTGTTCGTGCCGCAGTGGTAGCTGCCGAGAAACAGCTCTCGCCTTCCACGTACCTCATTGCAGTGCCAATGCTGTTGGTTGACGACAATTGGCTGCCCTTCTCCAATGACACGGGCATATAGCCACGCTTACCATCATCCTTACCTAGGGGGGTGTGTTGCGATTTGTGCTGGGACGAAGGGTCCTAATCCGAGATGGGTAATGCCGGGGCTCTTTATGCCCGCCGTTTCTGATCTTAGAATAGTAGATCGTGACCAACAAAACAAAGTTAGCTGTCGTGTGTCGCACTTTTTTCTGGGCCCATTATACCCCCACGTACCTGACTTTGTTGCTCATCGTGACCGCCCTCCCCCTACGAGATTCAAATCTTTCAATTCTCTCTGATACTTGCTCCCACATCCTACACGCTGACTGGAGAAGGGAGAAAGAAAGCAGACGCAACTGAACAAACTTCCACAACTCCAATCATGACCCGAGACCGACACGCGAGCCGCGCGAGTTTCGCATGCGTACGATGCAAGAAAGACAAGAGACGATGCGACATCTCTCAAATTTTGAGCTCGGGGGACCGAATGGAGCGGTCCTGCACCTCATGTCGAAACAAGAACGAAAAGTGTGAGGTCCGCTACGGCGAGGATAAGCGCAGTCAACGACAACCGAACGAGACCAAGGCACTGCAACGGCGAATGCAGGCACTAGAGGAGTTTGTCAAGAACGTCTCCAAAAACCCAGAGCTCCCGGTCACACGGCACAAGACGGATGAAGTTTCGGATTGTCTGATGGAACAGGCACGACGGACTGTAGACAACTACCAGGATGCGAGGATACGTGCCTTCCCAAGCCCTGCCAGCTCTTCAAGTCCGGGGACTCAAAATATGACGATATCGATCTCTCCTCCGGAGGGAGGACAGAACAATTGGGCTGTGACGTCGCAACAGGAGCTTCACCCCGCTTCACACTCAAGATCTGTATCCTTCTCGGGGCAAAACAGACCGAAGACCGACGACATCACACACAATGGCATCCGATCGATCTCCTTCTCAGGCCCCAGCAGGCCAGACTTTGACTGCGCCTCCGAGAGCGTCCCTCCCGTCATGGAAGAGATTGGGACACCCGATAGTATGCAAGACTTTGACCAATTTCTTGGCTCTGTGACCCTATTCCCGTACTCCGAGAATCAGTCTCGATCAAGGAGTCCACGTGGGGAAGGCTCTCCTTTTGAGGACGACACGAGCAGACAAGCTCGCGGTGCTCTCGAATGCTTTCCCGAGCCAGAACCAATTGTGTCCCATTTGCTAGACCTATTCTGGAAATGGCAATCATCTCACCTCCTCGTCGTTGATCGTGCTTTATTCCTCCGCCATCGGGAAATTTGGGACGACAGTGAAGGACACCGCGGCGATCGAAACTTTTATACCCCATGTCTGTTGTACGCGATCATGGCTCTGGCATCGATGATAAGTCTTGACAAGGGAGTCGTGCGATACTCTACTTCTACCGGCGGTGTCGCCGGAGAGACTTTTGCGAAGCGAGCACGCTCAATGTTTGATCTAGAGATGGATCACCCAACCATTTCCACTGTCCGGGCGGCTTTGATACTTGGTTCTCGATATGGAGCCATGAAGGACAACTCCCTTGGGTGGATGTACAGTGGTAAGAGCATTTTTGAGTCGCAATGATATGTCCATCCACTAATGTCTTTACTATAGGCATTGCCTTCAGAATGGCGAGTAAATTGGGCCTACATCTGGACTGTTCTAAAGCTGTTGCGTCTGGTAAGATGAGCCAGGAGATGGCCGATCTCAGAAGGAGAGTATTTTGGGGCTGCCACATTGAAGACAAGTAAGTACACCAACCCGGACTTGATCATTCCCAGCAGCGAGTCGTGTGACTAACAATCAAGTGTAATCAGCCTATTCAGCGCTTACTGTGGGCGACCAAACTCCTTTATGGAGTGGGATATCACCATTCCCATACCTGAGCGACCCTTCAAAGGCGTCGGCAAAGACGAAGCCGAATCGACTTCGTCACTTTTACATCACACCTCAACACTCTCAGTGCTATGTTCTAAGATACTAATTAGTATCCACCGTCAACGGCGGCACTCATCTACGAGCGAGATGAGATTGAAAGCATCACAACTTCACAGAGCCCTATGGCAGTGGCATCACGATCTTCCTAAGAGCTTGACATGGTCCAGCGATTCAAATATCCTGGCACAGCCCCATGTCTTCATCTTGCAGTAAGTATATTCAAGACTTCATGTGATCGTGCCAGCCAAGGATCAAGAACAGGAGCTAAGGAACCACGCAGAATGAACTTCTACTTTGCTCTCATTCTACTCCACCGGCCATTCCTCCGATTGTCTTCAAAATTCCTCAACGTCGACAACATGAACTCTTCGGCTCTCAACTCTCCACACGCATGCGCTACAGCAGCAGCAAACATCACAAAGCTCGCAACGACTTACAGACGATCTTTCAACATGCGACAGATGCCGCCATCGATTGTACACTTTGTTTTCATCGCAGGTAGCATTCATCTCCTCAACCTTCGTGCAGGACAACCAGGCAACCACGAAGTTCTCCTTCAGAGTTCCACTGAAGCTTTATCCGAGCTCGGAAAGTCATATCCCGTGGCGAAGAAAGCCAGCACCGAGCTGGAAAGCTTGATTGAAAAGTGGAGGTCCGCGAAAGAGGCCGAGAAGAGAGCCACGGAGACAAGTAGGGCGGCGCAAGAGGTTGAGAACAGCATAAGCTCTGGCTGTACGATACGGCCAGGGGTATCTGGATTTCTTGATATTGATTTTTCTCCTTTGGAAGAGCTTGGGGAGTTTATGGATTTGAAAAAAGGCCAACAACCTGCTACAAAGTCTGTGTTTGATATGCCGGCTGATATCGGCTTCCACGAGCAGCTATCGCTGGATCAAAACGGTAATGATTGCATGTTTCTGGACCAAGATTGGCTTCAGGACGGAACAGGATTCGAGAGCATGGACGGAAGTGGCTGTCCATGGATGTACAATTAATGACGAAAAGATGTAGAGTTGTCAGATGCGCTGTATATCACGAATTTGGAGTCTTGAGACGAGCATTCCTAGTCCATGAGTGAAATATGAACAGCCATTATGAGGTCTTAGATCGCCGGTACATTCTCGATAATGATGGGGTTGGCAACCTCTGCTCGATAAATCACCATCTCGTACTGGACAAGCACAAGAGCTCAGATTACAAATCAAGACCGTGGTGCTGCCGCAGTGTAGCAATCAGTTGAAAGACATAGCCTTGTGCACTGAGAGAGTTCAATAACCAACCCCGAGTTTCTTGGACCTCGGGAGCAACTTGAAGTTCTCAAGCGTCGAGTCTGCACTGCTCGAGAATCACTTGGTGACTCCCATGCTCAGACTGATTGAAGTTCACTTCCAAGAATAATCGTCGGATCTCTACTTGGGTCTCATCAAGGCCGATTTTCGGATCCGAATGATCTTAAAGCTTGCTCTGCAAATGCAGACAACATGCAATTCCGAAAATAAAGAGCCAGTCTGGCCTTCCACTTCCGTGAGCGAACTGTAACAGTGTCAACGAACTCCACCAAAGGGGTCGTTTCTGCACTAGACAGCGGCCACACCAGCTAGGTCCACGGGTATCCCTGTCAACTCTAATAGCTGAGCCCCCTTTCAATCTTCGCCGGAATTTGCGGAAAGAGCAACATCCACTACACGAAGTCAAGGATCTATGTGCTGAATACATAAGGCCGTGCATGTAGTGAGAGTTACTCAACTCGAAGAATTTTAGAAATGAGAAATAGCGTTCAGAAATAGGGATTGGACCGCGCGCATATGGTTCAAGTTATGGTTCGCGAGCAAATAAGCTGAGACCTTCTTATATAGGCAAGACTGCAAAAAGTAAAACCTTATCTAATATAAGAGAGTTCTCGGGACCCCATGCCTCATTTCCTTCAACTTGATGATGGGGAGATCTTGGGTTGTTTCCTTACAAAAAACCGTAGGAGAATATGACTTCTCCCCGGTAATGCGGCATGATGTCAATTAACGTTTCTTAGCGCATTTGCCTGACTCGGTGCACGCGTACGAGACGCCAATGATAGTCTCGGCTTTGGCAGGAATTGATGACTGCTATTATGCAGTATAAATCAATGAGAACCCCAAGTTGCGATGTTGGCAGTCTGGAAATTAGGCTAGGTTTTTTCGTTTTGGGGATTGTCAGTGCCCTTTGGGCAAATTTTGCAACCATGCCTCGTCACTCTTTTATTAAGTCACTCTTTTTCTCGTCTTTCATTCTCACATCTCTGGCCGGAAGAGGTCCAGTCAAGCACCCAAAACCGTACCATGAGGTGCCACAATTCTCCGGTAATGACTACACTGGATTTCCCGACAGCACTTCCGCGGATCACTTGAATCCTCGACAAGAAACGACCGTTGATGGACTAACATCCATCGACACCTTTACTTACAAGGGGGAAACATGGACGGCATACGAAGACATCACTCGATTCGATGGCCCGCTCGTCTTGGTGTCTGCTTCTGGAACTCGCAGAGAGATCAAGCGATACGTTGAAGCCTCCACGGACGAGTCTGTATCTATCAACCGAACGGTGGACGCATATTTTGGCCTGGATCCTGCAAACGATGTCAATCTCAAGCAGAATGACGTGTTGGCAGAGCGTCTTCTCCAAGATGGTGAACCTATTGAGGAACACGTTCGCGACGTCATCGACCTGTCCTTCCTGCCATGGGATGTGTACCTTGGAAACGTCCAGGCTAACGATACGATGGCCCTGGACTGGCAGTCCATGACAAAGAACTACGCACCCTGGAATGATATGTCGGAGGCTGCAGACGGAACTCACTCTAATTACACTTTCGATGGCTTGCTCAACGGATGGATGCCTGCTTCTCGAAAGATTTACCGGGGCCTCGTTGACACAACCGACTGGGTCGATATCACTACATTCGCCGACGTCGACTCTCCAGATCCCGATATCGTTCACATTTGGTTCTCTATCAAGTATGTCAAGGGCGGAGTCCTGCGTGCACAGAAGTATGCTCTGGATTACAAGCAGTTCCTGCCCTTGAAGGCGCATCCTACTGCCGATGACTTTTACCCTGCTTTGATGCGGTTCGCCGACTACTGGGACTCGCACGTCAAGGACGAAATATCTTTGACTCTTCCGGATGAGAGTTGGTCGGATATTGGAAAACATGCCTTTGCTGTAGAGCTTGTTGGTCGCGCTGGAGGTGTCACTCCGAGGTACGGTGCCTTCGAACGCGACTACGGCGGATCAGAATACGACGGCTTCCAAGACATCATGACCATGTCGCTTACAGCCAACTTGGCCTGGGGACGATTTGCCCAGGCCAAGGCCATTCTTGAGAACTACATGGACTGGTATGTCTACGACAATGGAGCCATCAAGATGCGTGGGCCTGCCGTGCCCCAGTTCGGCATGTCACTTTCTTTGATCGCACGCTATGTCCAGTACACGGGTGACACTGCGTTTCCGGAGAAGTACAAAACGAAGATCCTCGCCTGGGCCAACATGCTCACCGCGCGCCAAGACGAGAACTTGAAGCTCCCTGAAGATGATCCATACTACGGCCTCATTTCTGGCTGGAGCGAATCTGATGCTGCACTGAGAAACGATGCATGGCGATTCGAGAAACCATACTGGAACAATGCGGCGTTCGCTGCTCGCGGTCTCAAGGATCTTAGCAAGATTGAGACATTTGCCGACCATGCCAACGACTGGAACACTCGCGCTGAGCAGCTCATAAACCAGACATCCCTCAAATTGGACCAATGGATCCAAAGGAACTTCACACCTGCTTATGTTCCTGTCCTGCCGAATGAAACAACCCATGTTCTCGAGGACCTGGCCGAAAAGGGAGACGCATCCTCTCAGTGGTGGCCGCACCGGGTCTACTCGGAACTGCTTCAAGCATCAGTGCTCTCATCAAACCATACGGACATGGTAATTGACTCCATGCGCGCCTACGGAATTACCAGCGTGGGTGTCGTTGCCAACGTCACGCCCCTTAGGTCTGATACTCGCGACATCTTGGGCTTCATTTCATATGGCTACGCCCTTTCGTTGCTTGTCCAGGACCGCCTTGATGAATTTGTGCTCTTCTTATACTCTCATCGGTATCATGTCTATAACAGGGGCTTATGGCTTGCGGCTGAAGTTGCCGGAACTGGAGGTGGTTCCAGCACATACTGCCAGCCTTCCCAGTTTACGGTCCCCGTCTTGCTAAGGGCAGCATTGTTATTCGATCACCCCGACAAGGATGCTTTGCTAGTTGGACGAGGCGTTCCGAGGAAATGGCTTAGCAAGGGTAAGGTCGGAGTACAGAGAGCCCCGACCAAATGGGGATCAGTTGACCTCGATATGCAACTGGATGAGAAGACGGGTACCATCATGACGGTTCTAGGTTTCAGTAAGGCGCCTCCAGCTGAAGTTTGGGTTAAGCTGCGGATTCCAGAAGGGAGCCAACTTAAGAATGTCACCGTCGACGGTAGAGCGGCGGAGTGGAAGGGAGAAGAGGTCATATTGAAGCTTGCCTCGACGGCGCGCAATGCTACTGTCGTGGGAACTTTCTAGGCGCTAGTTTTCGATTGATAGAGATGATTACGCATCTACATTCCAGTGAGAGTACCGAGTCTTATAATACGCCCCAATTGAATTGGCTAGTTTGCACTCCGTCTTCCTGTCACGCGGTGGTGGTCGTGTCCTCTCTTCTTGACTTGTTCCTCCTCCTTCCCAAGTTCTTTGCTCCACAAGACTCCGTGCCTTAGTTTTTGTGACCCCGTAGAACCGGCGCACTGGGTTGACATTTGATGGCCAGAGCGAGTCTGAGCCAGAACTGTTTGCAGAGATGGTAGAGTTTGAATCTAGGATAAGGTAATCATCGTTGATGTATTGAACCTTCAATTTTTGTGACCTTCGTACCAGTGATGTGTCTTGGTGCTGTAGAGCCCTACGGTTCGCGGGCAAAGGAAGTCGACGAAGCAAATGTTAAGGCGGCCGATAATTAGTAACCTCCCCTTCCAAGAGGGTTGACTTCCTCGTGATGAAAGAATTCGTTCTTTTGATGGCTTCACGTGCTTTCGCAGTAATACCATCAGGAGCCTCATAATCTTGCTCCCAAAAATGAACACTCCATGACGGGTCAAACGGATCATCCATGTCGACGGCGTTGTCCGAATCATCCTCAGCGTCTTGGATGCTTGTCCATGTGTCGATCTCATCTGCAGTCATCAAATAGTAGCTGGATATAACATCTCCCCGAGTCTTTGGGAGTTGGCGGAGTGGTAGATTTTTCTTGAGTGATGCCTTCTGAAGCGCTGCGTCAACCCCCTCCCGGATTGCTTCCATTGCCTTGCGTACCTGTGACCTTTGCCCTTTGCTGAGTGCATAAGCCTTGTTTGCTTTCTTCCGCAATTTGTACTCCTCGCGACTGATATTCGCCCTTTTGAACAAGTCGTCTTCGGACGTTCTGCAGATCATATCGTACACTCTATCTTGATACGCCAATCTTCTCTCATCGCAATCACAGCCGATGTCGTCTACGCCGATGGGCAAACGCGATAAAGAGATTCATTAGCGCTCGTTGCAAGACTCGACAGGTCCGCATAAAAAATGCTCGGACGTGGCGATTTGTAAAGATGAGCCTCAGCAAGTGCTTCTTTGTATCGAAGGTACCATGCTGGGTATTGTTCCTGGTGGCAGCTCGAGCCCATTTGAGATCGTCGTTGGTCTGGCAGAGTTTGCCCGCCGTATCCAAGTAATCAAGGCAATGTAGGAGAAAGACGATGTGAAGGTCCACACCATTCACGATGCTGATGTTCTTGGCCCATTGGAATATGGAAGTGTCACCTTTTGCAGTAGTGCCGTTCCCATCTTGTCCAATACCTCTCTTTCTTCTTCCTTTTCTTCTTTTTTGTTTTTGTCAAGCGGAAGATCTCAATGCCCGGTAGTCGGGACAACACCACACTCCCGGCTCAGCGCCCTGCACCATTTACTCTCCAATAAGTAACTGCAAGATAAAAGCAACAAGAGAACTTGGAAACAAGAAGAGTACGAAAAATTAAGGATAATTCATCGGTAAGTACGTATTATAATCATTTGTTGGCCGGCGTCCCATTTTGTCACCCACTTGCTAAGATATCTTAGCTTGTACTCATCTCTGCATCCTCCGCAACGGCCAAGCAATGATCCTCTCTCACCAGTCGAAAGACAATCAGATGGATTGTGAAGTTGTGGCACGTTGAACTTGGCCTAATGCAGGCAAAAAAAAAAAAAAAGAATTGTGCTGGGCGCCAATCGATTCTCTACCAATCAATGCCCGGGCAGATGACTGCATGCAGGCCCAATCAACGAGGCTACAGGAGAGACAAGAGCGGGATGCCATTTCCCCTCATCTAAGATAGGCAGCCTCAGCAGCCTCATTTCTTTCTCATCGCAATTCCGAGTCCAATTTCAATATCAATGACAATGGAGCCGGTTGGATTAGCCGTCGGAATCGCTGGGCTCGCGGGCATTCTGAGCACTTGTCTAGATGTCATCGAGAGAGTCGACATATATAAAGATTTCGACCGTGATTCACGTTCACTCGCTGTACAGCTCGATGTGGAAAAGCTTCGCCTCAAAAAATGGGCCTGCGATGTTGGTTACCGGCAAGGGAAGCTCTCGAACGACCATCACACCGCTCTGAATGACCCGCAGGTCCGCTTGATGGCAGTAGAGCTGCTTAGTGTCATCAAGGCAATCTGTGGTGACGTAACAACATCAGAACTCGGGCTGGATGAAAATTTAGCAACCGTCACTCGCGGCATTCAATCCCTTCCAAAGTCATCAGAATCAAGGAGGCAAAAGCTTGTTTGGTCCTTGAGGGGCAAGGCTAGACGCACTTCTCAAGTCGAAAACCTCGGAGTTCTCGTCCAGCATCTGCACAACCTGGTTCCTCCAGATAGTTCATTTCCAGGTGGGGAAGCTACCAATAAGTCTAATGAGACTTGTGCTTATGGAATAGGTGTGTCTTTACGCCCGCGTCCCTTTGAGCTCAAGCACAGTTTAAGCATCGGCTGTCAATGCTGGAGATAGCCTAGTTGTACTATCCTGATATCGAATTGTCACATACATAAGTTCACGATCAGACAAATCTGACGAGACCATCTGGCTTAGATGACGATATTGAGAAACAGACGTGGCTTCGCGAGCTTCGACAGACCTTGTCTCGGTTGGAAAGGGAGATGGAAGGTATATCGAGATTCTTCACCTTAACTTCCCGAAATACTGCGATTAAGACTGACGCCGGCGACTGCAGCCGAGACTCGACGAGACCTTCGGGCCTGGCTAGCATGCCCACCGCCGAACGATCTCTTTCCTGAAGCCAAAGAGAGAAGAATCAATGGGACGTGTGATTGGATTATTGACCGTCCCGAATTCGTTGAGTGGCTTGCTCTAAACGAAGCGTGTAAAATTGTCGATGATACCGAAAGGCTCCTGTGGGTCAATGGACCAGCCGGGTTTGGAAAGACTGTTCTATGCGCGAGAATCATCGAACATTTGAGATCGATATCCCAGACGCCTGTGGTCTATTTCTTCTTGTCATCTGAATTCGAAAGCCGCGACAATCCCTATGCGGCGATTCGAGCATGGGTCCACCAGATGGCATCGTCCGACCAGACTACCTACCAGTTGGTGCGAGAAAAGTGGCTAGCTCAAAACGAACAATTCGCCACCGAGACAGAAATCGTCAGTATCTTTCGAGAAATTTTGCAAGTCGTACCTGGAGCCATCTTGGTCTTGGATGGCTTGGATGAGTGTACTTGGTTGGGGAAGGCTCCGCATGACGGGAAGTCCTTGGGGAGGTTTCTCAACACCGTGATTGGGGCAATTACCAACACGGCATCTCGCCTCCTAGTTGTCAGTCGGGACGAGCCTGAGATTCGAAGTGCTATGATGTGCTCAAAAAACTGCGAGGAACTCAAAATCGATTCTGAAGACGTGCAATCCGACGTTGCTCGATACGCAAGAAGTATTGTCGACAAGAAGCTGCCGAGAAAGGACGAAGCAACAAGAGAAGGTGTCTCCAAGATGCTTGCGGATCGGTCCAATGGCCAACTCCTCTGGGTCAAGTTACACGAAGATTCCTTGCGCAGCTGGAAGAACAAGAAGCAACTTGAGGATGCGATCAATGAAATACCGTCTGGACTTGATCATGTTTATGAACGAAATTGGACACGCATTTCTAAACTACCAGAACCGATCCGTAAACGTGCCTATTCTCTATTACAATGGGCGGCTTTTGCTCTGCGGCCCTTGACCGTCAACGAAATCTCCGAGGCTATGTTGATCGACGAGGAAGATTTCAACTTCCCTGAGGATGAGTTGCCCGATGAAGTTGATGACGACTTCATTGAAAGCGAAATACAAATCCCCTGCGGCTCGCTTTTGGAAGTTCGAGGTACATCTTCGAATTCTAACAGGGGGTCAAGGACGGTGCACTTGACTCACTTTTCAGTCAAACAACATTTTCTTTGCAACATTTCATCTCAATCGCTATCGATTCGCATGAACAGTCAAGTCTTAAACGAGCTTCAACAAAACAGCAGGCTAGCAAAGCTTTGCCTTCGCTACATCAACAGTCAATACTTCTGGGACTTCGAAGAGAAGATCAATTCGACGGTTCAAATGGAAAGCACCCAGGAAGAAAACCTTCAAGTGAGCGTCAAGGGGTCATTCCGACACTACGCCGCGAGTTCATGGTATCAGCATTCCACCGTCGGTTATGAGGAAGACGAAGAACTGACAGTGCTCATGATGAATTTGTTCGATGAACTCAATCCCAGCTGGGAAATGTGGCGTGACTTGTTTGAGAAGTACAGCGTAGAGCTCGGTTTGGGAGCTGATTCATCAACTGAACCTCACCATGCTAGTCCTTTACACTACGCTGCCCGTCTTGGCTTCACTGAGCTTGCTTCCTGCCTCATCCACGACGAGAAGCATCATGTGAATGCCAAGGCGCCGTTTGGTAGAACAGCTCTTGAGATTGCAGGCAACGCTGGGAATTTGACACTCTCAAAGATCCTTCTAGATGCGGGGGCCGATTTTTCAATGTCGAATCACACAGGGTCGACACCTCTCATCGAAGCTTCGTATAATGGAGCCTATGAGGTTATTGAACTCCTTCTCGATAGAGGCGCAGACTGCGAGAAAACAAGTAACTACAACTGGACGGCACTACACGTAGCTTCCTACTACGGCCATCTCGACGTCGTCGCGTTGCTGCTTAGAAGGGGAGCTAACGTCACTGTTGCTAACGATGGCGGTTGGACACCACTCAATGTGGCCTCTCACTGCGGACACTTCGATGTGATTGAACTGCTCCTCGACAATGGGGCCGAAATTCTAACCCGGAGTAATGATGGTTGGTCGCCGCTTAATACTGCCTCTCAATTTGGACACCTAGACATTGTCAACTTGCTCCTGAGGAAGGGGGCTGATGTTCACCACGCAAATCTTAGCAAATGGTCATCGATACATTTCGCTTCTGATGGTGGTCACTATGAGATCGTCAATATGCTTCTGGGTGCAGGCGCCGACGTCGCAGCTGTAACCAATAATTCAACGACGCCGCTGCATATAGCATCAAGTCGTGGCCATCTAGAGGTTGTCGAGCTACTTCTGGACAATGGCGCTGACTCGAACGCTGTGGACGATAGCCAATGGACACCGATTTTCTTGGCATCGAGTTGCGGGCATGAAAAAGTAGCCAAGCTACTTCTTAGTCGGTGCGACGACGTATCTCGGGCCAACAAAGCCGGAATGGTGCCACTTTACTCAGCTTCAGCTGCCGTGAACAGCAAGCTTGCTGAGCTGCTTCTTAGCGACTCTCGTAATGATGGTTCCTTGCGAGCCTACGCAGGATGGACGCTACTCCACGAGGCGTCGTATAACGGACGCGTTGGGGTGATTGAACTACTTCTTGCTGAGGGAGTAGATGTAGGGTTGACTGACGAGCGTGGGTGGACGCCTCTACACGCTGCAGCTCTGAGCGGGCATACAGAAGTTGCAGAGTTACTGCTTCAGAGCCCTAGGTGCAGTACCCATGTACAAGATAACAGTGGCCGAACACCAGTATTTTATGCATCGGCTCGCGGGCATTACGAGTTAATCCAAATACTAACCACTCAGAATCGACTGGACCTTCAGATCACGGATCAGTATGGATCAACCCCATTATCTGCAGCTTGTCGCAATGGACATGAAGAAGCCGTCAAATATCTGCTCTCAGTCGACGAGGGATCATTTGAGTCCCCAGATGGACTAGGGCGAAGCTCGATGTGGTGGGCACGAAAAAGTGGCAGCACCCAAGTCATCCAATCGGTCTTGCAACATGCATTGAGGCTCAAAATTCATGTTCCGGAGAACAACGAGCTTGGCGCACAAGGGGCGAACTTCGATTGCGATTCAGCGTGGTGTGATATTTGCATGACTTGTACCTTCCTAGATGAGCAGGCATTCTACACCTGTAACTTGTGCGATGGAGGTGACTTCGTCATCTGCCTGGAATGTAAGGATCTTGGTCTCGAATGCCAAGATGCTTCTCATTGCTGGACCTTTCAAGAACCCTATTAGGAGGGAGGAGAGACAGATTGTTTCTAGCTTCATGAATCTGGGGAAATGTGCAGGATTCTTTTCCTCCGACAGTCATTCACGTACACCTCAACGATCTCGAGAGCCAAATGAGTACTATAATTGATCAACTATTAGATAAAATCAATTCATCCGTCTCTAGCTTTCAACTTTCAATTCTAGTTCATTTCTGTCTTACTTTAGGCTGGTATGAAGGAGTTGAAATCAGAGTAGTACACTCGTTCTTGCCAATATTTGTAATAGTAGATCTATTTATCTTGACGATATGTAGCATTTCAGGTGCTAAGAATGGTGTCCACAGCTTGAGGAAGAAGCTGAGAACTTTGAGATGTTATCGAAAGCATTCGCAGAAAATGGTCTTCAGGACTTGCTCCAGCATCTCGGTACACATTGGGCATCCCCCAGTCAGTGCAGGCCGTTGACATTTGCATGGAATACAATTTTGAGTGATGAAATTAGTATGCTTCGACGGTTGACAAAACAATAGTGACTATTATGAAGCTCTGCTGATAAGACTACCCATTTGACTCCAGACCGCCATAGGATTGGTATACAGAACAAAATGTCCACTGTTTGGAATCTCGGCTAGCTCGGCGCCCGCATGTGCAATCCGTGAGAGATAGGATAATGAGTTGTAGGATACACCGAAAATGAACATCTTTGAACACGGAAGTGCTTCAAACACCTCCAGTAAGTCTCCTTTGTCGGTATAATGAACCATGGACTCGAAAGTTGGCCTTACTACCTCCGGCCTGACCTTAGAACGGAAACTTGCTGCATAAATCCCGTTCCCGTAATCCGCTGATCGCCGAGTCCGCTCGATAAAGGATGCGATGAACATCTCCGTATCGCTTGCCGGGAAGTCGAAGATTTGTCTGCTCAAGAAGCAGTCCTCGGGAGCAAGATTGCCCTTGATGTTGGTGAAGCTTAGTACCGCGCCTGGGTTGCGCTGTGCTAACAGCAAGCCTGTCAAGCCGCCCATGGAGTGGCCCACGAGGTGGAACCGTTTGATCTTGTGAGCGTCCAGAACTGCCTCAGCTACGGCGACGAGGAATGGTATGGAGACGGTGCTGTATTCGGAGCTGGTGGATGCACCGCTGCCGGGGGTATCGTAAGCGAGTAAAGGATAGTCGGAAAGGGGCGCGTGATGGATTACATCCGTGAAGTCTTCTTTGGTGCTCCCGAAGCCGTGGAGGAAGAGTACGGGATCAAGCGGCCCGTCACGGCGGACAGTAGAAATTGAAAGATCGACATTGTTGATAACGAGAGAGAGATCTTCCCAAATAAGATGGTAAGACGATGGCGTTACGCCGCTGACAGGCGGGCCGGTTTCTGTGGCTGGCATGATGCCTTGATCATGGGATGTAAAAGTGTTTGTTGAGAAATACTCTTGGGAGAATCTTGTCCTTTATAGAGAAAACTTGATCAAGAAGATGTTGCTGGTGGAGAATTGTAGTTTGTATCGCCAGTCGCCGTTATGCTCTATACACGGCAGCCAATCCTTCGGTGCCGGCGGTTGCCAGTATCGCCCGGAGTGGGTCCTGAAAACCGGCGCTGACACCGAAAAGCTCGGCACCGTGAGTTTTTTTGCCGTCGGCACCGCTACGCTTTGCCGACCGGGTTCTTCAGAGGCTTGCAGACATTTATTCGCTGAGTCATATTTACTGTATGCTTTGTATGGAGTATTACCTGGCCTCCGTCGTGGCTTGGCCATACTGCCCCATCAATCGCGAACATGAAGTCGGCTAAGATTTCAATTGCCTAATCTCACGCGTGAGTTTTTTAGGCACCTGACTATGAATGAAACCTTTGTACACTTGGGGTGAAGCTTGGGACCATGAAAATAGCTCTTGCATATCTCACTCGAAAGCCGAGTCTTAGCACACGTACTCTCACCTGAGTTCAATGACCGAAAGAAGCTGAAATTCGGTCGGGAATGCATAGGCGAAATGACATCACGTCTAGCCTGGCTGCACCGCCTCCATTCCCTAGAATCTTCTTGGCCATTCAAGTGGGCGACGAGAAGAAGTCGATGCCGGCCAAAGCCAGAGTAGTGGTAGACTAGTAGCAGGAAGGGGAAGAGTTGAGATAGCTAGGGTGTTGAGCGACAAACTATTGTGGCACTCACCTGCCATCTTCTGTGCGTTTGAGCTGACTTGGTTCACGCTTCAGGGTGAGCAGGCTTGCCAGGCAATGCCGAGGAAGGCTGTGTACGAACGAAGAGAGTCATTGAGCTGGAGCATGGTCTCTCAAAACTTAGGGAGGTAAGAGAGTCAATGGCCAATGAAATGACTGTTTGAAAGACGAGTAATAGGACATGCGTGAGATGGAAATATTTGAGCGAGGTATTCCGAGCCAGACTGGAAGGGCAAACGATTCTCAGCATTTGCAAAGCACCGCCCATTGTTTAGCCCCTCTCACGAACGAACGAGGTGCTGAGCATGAACAGGTAAGTTTCAAGCCAGCTGATGACAACGGACGTTGTGAGGCCCAATGACACTCCTTTGCGAGCAGGCGGGATGCGATGCATTGGGTCCGCTTCCGAATCTGCCGGCCGTGGAACCGAGTGCGGTGCCGGTAGCTGATGCAGCGGAGTAGCAGCATTCCGTTGCAGCCAGCAGTGTTCCCGCTGGAGTCCTCCTGGATGAGACGGTTTCAAAGTACTGGGCTGTACTTCAAGGCTGAGTCACCAGCCGCGAAGCTTCCCCTGGGGCATTTCATCTTATAGACAACTTCACATGCGAACACGATCTCCGCGAGTGAGCTAGCTACTTTAGCAGTTCCTTCCGCCGACTCGTGCGTTTGACACAATCGGCAGCATCCGCGCCGCAGTGTATGCATTACAGCGTGCATACACGGACGGATACAGGGTGAGCCTTTCTCAAACGAAGATCAGGATGCACTGCCATCTGAAGACTGCCGGCGTGCCAAAGCTTGTGTTCCCTCGCTTGAGACGACAGCTGACAAGGGATCCGCTAGGTGTTTCATGCCAATCAAACACTGCCCGAATTTCTCCGGTCCAGTGAAAATGAATGAGATTGGCTGCACGGTGGGTGAGATTTCAGTGAGCCTGGGATGGCAAAGAATGACCCTCAGTCGAAACTCACTGAGCGACAAACTGTCAGTGCTACACTTCCTTCACTGGGGATGAGTGAGCCAGCGCCTGAACATCTACCGCGTGCCTAGGGACCCCTTGCCAAGCAGTAATCCGGCGGAGTCATGTCAGGGGTGAACCGCTAAAATAAGAATGACATCACGTTGAAACGGGGGCAAAGAGATGCAGTGAAGCCCCTTTCTTTCTTTCTTCCCTTCCACACTCTGTTCGTCCGGTTCCCGCGGGTTGAGCAGTGACCTGGTTGACCTGGGTGAACAGACGGGGTGTTCTAACGCGTATCTGGAACCCTGAGATCTAGACTTTGAGCTGCAGCCTGCGTTTGGATGAAATCTGTCATGCAGGACAGACAACATTGAATCGCCACAGGAAGCCTCGTCCGAACTCAACAAAGCTTACGCCATCGCCGCCTTCAAACTTTGACATCTTGCTCGGTCTCGCTCGTTGAGCATCTACAACGGACAGAATAGACCATAGAAGGTGCTGACCAACCAGTCTGGCGTGCATTATTCCGCCATCAACCTGCAACTGGCCATCGCCAACGATGCTCCATAGAACAAACACGCTGTTCATTGCCGCCAAGGATGGACCGCGCGGCATCGAGGCAGTGTTGCAAGAAAACCGGAGCTCTCTTAGTTGCTTGGTAAACTCCGCTGATCGCACGGAGCCAAACAGCTTCAATTTCAGCCAAGGGCTTTAAGATTGACTATTCGTACTCGCGGCGTACCGAATTTGAGCCTAGCAGCAGCAACCCGTCGTATTGAATCCTTCTCTTCTGCCCCTTGGCGCACGTCCCGTATCTCGCTGGGCAGCGTCGTTCGGTTCTTGGTTGTGTTAAGATTTGAGTCTGGACCTCCCTTGTGGCTCCTCAAGGTTCATCTCCAGAGATGATCGTTTCCAGTATATTAAATCAATCGTCTTTTCCCATCGATTCCACTTGTGCTTCTGTGTCTTCTCAGTCAACCCCTTGGTCTTTTACAAACGATTCATACCTGCAGCAGCAATATTGAAAGTGCCACTTTTCTTTACAGGCCTCTAATTGTTCTTCATTTCGTCTGCCACTACGATCAAACATCGTTCTTGACTCCTCGAACAAACATACTGATCATCCTATGAACCTCTGATTAACCACCAAAGATCTCGCTCATCACTCGATTGACGTTCCAAAGCCTCTCCAGCGAAAAAACTACTTAACACCGTTACTATGCAGTACGCCATCGTTTTCGGACTCCTCTCCGGCCTTGCCGCCGCCCAGTCGGCCACCACCTCCGCCGCATCCTCCAGCTCAACTGGTCTGGCCAGCCTCATCGCCCAGCTCCCTAGCTGCGCCGTAGGCTGCATCAGCACCGCCGCCAGCAACATTGGCTGCTCCGCGACCGACTTCACCTGCTTGTGCGCCAGCCAGGACAAGCTCATCTCCAGCCTGACGCCCTGCGTGCTCACTGCTGGCTGCTCCACCACAGAGATCGCCGGTATGTTGCACACCCTGTAACTCATGTCCCATTCATTGTATAGGTGGCTAACCAAAGTTCTTATAGCGGCTGCAAAAATCGCACCGTCAATCTGCTCCGAAGTTCAGAGCAACCCGGCCGCATCCGACCTCGCATCGGCATCGAACCTCGTAACCGGCGTCCTCGGTACCGCGGCCGCTACCGCTAGCAGCAGCGCCGCCGCGTCTGCCACCGCTACACCCGCCGCCGCTGCACGGCCGACGAACGCATACTACGGCATGCTCGGCGCCGTCGCTCTCGCTGCTGCTGCTTTGTAAATACTACATGGGCTTTGTAAATACCAAAACTCTAGGGATATGGCGCATTTTGGGGGGGGCTACGGCTTTGATTTCATGACATTTTAGAATGGGACATTGGGT